GCGAATTTTCGTAAATGAGTCATACACAATTATAGCTGAGGAGTCGAAGCATACTGCGTTGGTGGCTGATATTTCGGATATTACAAGAGAGATCTACTTTGGTGTAAAATTTGCTAGTTGGAAAAAAAAAAAAAAAAAAAAAAAAAAAAAAACAAGGAAATCTCTTTGCAATGAGCTGGTACCATTCTTGTGTTTACAAATTGACCCCCACTTGGGTTGCGCATTTCATTTCTTTTTTAAGCATCAAATTTTAAAAAAAATGTATGTAATATAGGGACCAAATCTGTAATTATCCCAAGTTTATTATAAATATAAATAATATAATAAATTAAAGTTTTCTCAAATCGTTGCTCGGAAACCGTACAAACCTAAAAACAAAACTTAAACGTACGCCACGAACTTGATAGACAATTCAAAAAATTATGCGACGTACAATCAAATTTTTGGTTTTCAATTTTACCAAAGGTATGAAAATACAAGAAAGATCGGATTACAAGTGTCTACAAAAGCTGTGAATACCTTCAAGTGCTTGAAATCTTTTTGTAATTCGATGTACAGGAAGTTGAAAAACAATAAGAAAATAATAAACGGGAAAACAGAGAATGAATATGAGGTGAACGTGTGATTCCTCACCTGATTTTGTTGCATTCAAAAGTTCTGAAAATGCAATTACAGGATACAGGTTGCTTAATTAAATTATAGACCTAATAGCCCCAACTACGAAAACAAATATTCATAGAAGAGAGGGAGGGCTTTTTGCGATCGAGCAGCGATTTCATCCGCTTTCCTGAACAAAAGATACAATCATAGAAGGAAATAGGGAAGGCCTTTTGAGATCGAGCAGCGATTCATCCACTTCCCTAAAGCACCAATATGTGCAGAGAAAATTGGAAAATATGAGAACACAAATCGAAAACCGCCGGAATGTGTGCCTCGTGTGTCCAGTCGACGGAGGCCGGGAAATAAGGAGGTGGTGGAGAGGGAGCAAAAATTTTGAAGGATAATGTACAAGAAGTAAATCGTAAGGAAAAAATACAAATATAAGAGGCATAAACCAAAGTAATATAAAGAAGTCCAACGTCAATCGTCGAAAGTGCAAAGCTACTCGTCAGAGTGGCGCCGTCTACAGATGTGGACGAACTCAACTCCAGCTGAGAATTCACTCAGCCGAATAAAATCAGCTATAAGAAGTAAACTTCACTGGAAGACATCAATATAATTCTTGAACAAGCGGCAAACCTGTGTACGAGCAGAGAGAGCAACAGCAAACCGAAGCCGAAACACCAAAAAAGGGCTAACCTGTAATTGAATATAGAAAACACAAAGAAAAAGAAAAGAAAGGAAACAATGGTTGCGAATGAAGAAAGTAATAAATTAGATTGGGTGAACACCAAAAAGAGAAAATTACAGGAAAACAGAAGAGAGTCACCTGCACCACGACTCAACCTTTGGAAGCCATAAACAAAGAAGTTCCGACTTTTTATCCAGCATATGAAAAGAATATTAAACAATAGTAACAAATGAAATTGTTGTGTGAGTTTGGAGTCAAAGAATATAAATAACAAATATCACATAGTTCAAAATTCCTTGTAATAATCCGTCGGAAGCTGAATTTTAGCGACGTACCTCGGATCCAAATAGAGGTATGTATGCAACCCCAAGTTTGAAAAATTGCCGTGAGGGAATCATGGTCGAATTTTTTGACATAATTTCAAAAGTTCCATAGAAGTAGATAGTACAAACGGAGTCCAGAATAAAGGAGAAGCAAACAAAAGTGTTCCTTACAAAAGTGATGGATCGACAATGTATTTGTTATTCAAACTTTCAAACATCCACGTCTTCATGACTAATAAGAAATTCCAAACTTCACAAACAAAAACATCAAAACCACAAAAGAGTACACAAAAATAGAGATGTTTCGGCAAAGACATACAATTATAACTCTTTACCTAGTAATCTTGCCGAGTTGAACAATTGGCGGTGTAGCACAAACACCATCATAAAGTAGCAACAATACCAGTTTTTGAAGAACTTGTACCCTCTTGGCAGATTCGCAGCCAAAAAAAAATAACCGATTACGATTTCAAAGAATAAATTGTAAATAATAAAAGAGCATAACGGAAACAAAAATTGTGCAACTCCCTATACATTTCAGAAAATTATGGTATTGGATAAAGAAATTTACTAATTCTGCAACTCCCTATACATTTATAAAAAAAGATATTGGATAAAGAAATGTACTTATTTAGAACCATATGCCAACGAGCAAGACTATGCGCTAAACAAACAAAAATAAAATCAAAATTACTCAATGAGCAAGAAAAATTCTAAATACCCAAACTCACTCGTTTTTTCTGATATCGTGTAATAAACAAAACCTGGTGATAACGAAATGATTTCTTCCTTCCGTGATATAACATGGCACGAAGAACTTATAGGGGGAACGAATATCTGAAGCAGAGTCATTCTCATTAGTTGGTGTATCTACCTTTGGCCTCTCCAGATTTTACACCAATCCATAGTGTACAAAAATTCGAAATACAAAATAGATAAGTTTATTAAACACCAAAAAAAATAAGGAACAAAACAAATCAGTAAATCCATAAACTAAAAAATAATGAAAAATGAGCGGTAGCTAAAGTTTTGCTGGCGAAGATAAGAGCAGGAGATATGCAATTAATGAGTGAATATATTTTAAAGAATTAAAGGAGGACGTATAACATATACATGTCGAAGTGAACATATATGTACAGAGGAATAAGATTATATGTTGTACACCCTCTTCTTCTCCGGTGATGGATCCACATAAACTGATTGAGAAGAAAGAATCATAAATAAGTTGTAGCTATAGAGTAAGATAAATGGTGCATAAACCAAGATCAGAAACTAACAAGATAGGAAAACTAATGGAATTTTTCAAGACAACGGTTGGTGCTAATAACAAATTAAATGTCGCAATCTATTGTTCTTTTAAACAATCATAAAGCGAAAACATGAAATGCCATTTCTAAATAATTAATGAAGGTGGCTAAAGGTTTTATATAGTAACATCCGGTTCCTTAATTAGTTGCTTCACACAGAAGCGTAATTGAGATGTCGGAGTGAATTTTCTTTTAAAATCATCTATACTACTTATAAAAGTGGGAATGTTAGGGGAGGTTTCTTCCCTTTTTTGTGATGACCAAAATGCCCCTATCAAAAATAAAATAATTAATATTAATTTATAATTAGTTTTTTAATGTATGTTTACGAAAATAATTGATATTTTTTAGAGTTCAATGTATAAAGGCATCTGAAAAGATGAACTCATGTATCTATTAAATGTTAGTCATGTAAGAAATTCAAAGAAACTCAATGGTCGATAATTCAATATGAATTTCAATTTTGCATCAGTTACACCAAAGAAAGAAATAAATGATCGTAACTTCCAGTTTCAAGTTCTCATTCATCTTTTCTTTCTCTTCTCGATTTCTTTTTCGTTTTCTTCTTTTTTATTTATTTTTTGTGTTTTCAGTTCTATGTTTAATTGTTTGAACCCTAAATTTTGAGAAATTGATAAAGTTTTCTAGATTAATAAAGGAATAAATCCTCCATATCAAGATCGGATTGAGCCTCTGTTAATAAAGTTCGTAAGTTATTTTGCATATTTTTCCCACTTCTATGTACTAAGTTAATTTTTTTTATTCATTTGAATTAATTGACCTAATGAAACATGTATGGGTTATATGCATGGGGATTATTGATTTAAAATTATTTCTACTCAGGTAATTCAAAAATCGTGTTTCAATTTCATAAAATTAATGATCTATGCATGGGGATTATTGATTTAACTTTTATCTACTAAATTTACTTGCAATTACATTTTATTTTTCCGTTCAATTCTTTATTTATGTATTGGCAGGTAAGATTCATTGTGATATAGTTTGTGACTAAGAATGTTATACGTGAAGTTTGTAAGGACTTTCTATTTCAACTGGCTTCTTCTTGTCAATTCAAATTCACGTATGTACATTATCAGGGACTCATAACAAAAGAAAGAAAATGTATTGATCCTGCAACTGCTTTATTTGCTTAATCCAAAGGTGATGTTGCATGACTTTGGGTTTAGCCAGTGATCCAATCTCATCAAAGTTGTGAGTCTTTCTCCAACAAGACTAAGCTATACATTTTCTGGAAACCATAATTTAATTTTTAATTTATGTGGCTCTTGGTATTCCACATCCCGTTTATGAAAATAGGAATTGAACTGCCATGTTATTAATATTTGCTAATGTTATGAATTGTGAGTGGATAAATAGGAAATAATCTGTTAAATGGGCTTTATATTGCTATTGGTAGTTTTGCATTAGATGATTATATTGGATTGTCATGTTTTAGTTACTCTGAGACTTCACTTTTGGTGGCTTGACTATCTCTATTGGTTAGTGATATAAATTTTAGGGGAAATTCTACTTTCCCACATTTTACTTTGGCTCGGTATCACTTTACCCCATTCTATTAATTTGCCCCCCTATACTTGAAAAATTATCTCAACGTGGTCCTCGCTGTTAGTTGTCTGACATTTGACCTTAACGCCGTTTGATCTAAGCTCTAAAATTACAAAACTGCCACCCCTCACAATTTAAATAATTATTTAAAAATAATAATAATAATAATAATAATAATAATAATAATAATAATAATAATAATAATAATAATAATAATAATAATAATAATAATAATAATAATAATAATAATAATAATAATAATAATAATAATAATAATAATAATAATAATAATAATAAAAATAATAATAAAAAAATCAAGAAACGAGAAAACATAGTCAACGACGTCTGCTACCATTTATTTATTTTTTTATTTTTTGGATTTTTTAATAATTATTTAAGCTAGGAGGAGTGGTTTTTTTTTGTAATTTCCAGACTTAGATCAAACGGTGTTAAGGTCAAAGGTCTGAAAACTAACGGCAAGGGCCATATTGAGACAATTTTTCAAGTAAAGTCATATTCAACCAAAGTACAAGGAGGAAAGTGGAATTTACCCTAAATTTTATGCACTTGACTGATGGTTTTATGTTGTCTAATGGTAGACAAATATAACATGAAATTAAAAGTTATTTCTCATGTAATTTATTTATATAAACTTGTTTCCGTGATTTTTATTTTGATGGCAAAAATTTTAATGCCCCTTGTTTGTTTTATCTTCTATATTATTTGAATTTTTAGTGATTTTATTTGTTCATGAACTTCTTATATTTTCCAATTCATATTTTTTCCGAATAAATGTTAGGGTCCAATGGCTATAGATAGTTTCCTTTTCAATTTAATAAGTTTTGTGTTTACTCCAAATTAAAAATCATGAGTTAAGTTTTAGGCTCTGATTGAATCATCAGTCTCCTTCTCCTTCGTGCAGACAATACCTCCCACCTTATGCAAAACACTTGTATTCGCTGTCGTGCTGTCATAAAAAAATTTAATGTTATTAGATATTAAATTCCTTTAACACAAATCTTCGATCTGGTTCCCATTACTATTCAGGTGAGTTTTAGGGAGATATTATTATAGAAAATCTACGAGCCATTCAAGGGGATACTAGAGTGAATTATGCCGGTTTACTTTATATGCTTTATCACCATTATTATTGGAGATATTAGTGACAAATGATACACTTCACTAATAGCTCAAACTTTCGGTTGAGGTAGTCATTCAACATGGTATCAGAGTCAGACCAAATGAAAGGTCATGAGTTCGAATCCCACTGCCATCCATTTCAAATATTTCAAGTGCAAGGCTTCCAATGTAATTTGCTTAAACTTTAGGGGGCGACGAATTGAAGATATTAGTATTAAATAATAATAGCTTAATTTTTGGTTGAGGTGGTCATTCAACAACTATATTTAGTTCGTTTTTTTTTTCCTTTTATAGCAAGTCGATGTGATCCGTCAAAACTACAAGATAAGGATGTTGGATGTACATCATTTTTCTTAGACATAACAGGCATGGGAGGTACAACCGTACATGTGAAGTCAACAACAAATGGATTCTCCGATCCATGGTGTAGTCACATGATGATGAAACTGATAGCTGAAGGACAAAATGAAGCCATCCAAAATGCATAGGCAGAAATTTCAGCTCAATCTTGTATTCTCGAATGGTTTTACTAAATAGTTAGTTTAAGGAAGCTAAGTGAAGAAATGGTTGTACATGTAGTTCGTTCTTTGTTTTGATATTTCATGACATACCAATGGTTGAAGACAAACTGTTTTAGTTTCATTAATATATTTCATTATTTTATTTAGAATTGTAGCAGGTTTTACTGTATACAGGTCAAGATTATGCTCTTGATACGCTCTTTTAGAATGCATTCAAATAGACAATCAACTCAGTGCTCTAGAATAAAGAAGACACATTTTACTACCCTTGAGATACAAGTTCACTTGAGATATATCTTTCAATCTTTGTAACATATCAAAGATATCATTGTATGCAAACTTATGGACAATATCTAAAGTTCTTCCATGAATTATTTATTCTTTATAATTAGACATAGTTTCACTTTGTGAAATTATTATGTCATTATTTTGACAAGATGATGGCCTGGTACATAGTATGTCAAAGTCAAAATGCCCTGAGGTATGTTATTAAATATGCAAGTCTCTTTTTTGTTTATGAGAACCTCTCATCTTCTATGTTTCGAATTTATCTAAATTCTCTAACTCTAAAACGATCGAGACTATTATAGAGCTACTCTAGACTTGCGGTCATGTGGAGTGATACTCTTTGTAAAGGTTGAACGAACCTAACCTTCTCTTTACACTACTGTGAAGCATATAGACCAATTAAATTTGTGTTGAGTATGTTTGGAACATAATTTATATTCATGCTCTTTGCTAGCTGGAAATTATGTTAATGCACAAGCTTCTAAGTTTTTTGTTTATTTTTCTAATGTATGTTTCATCATTCAATAAGAAAAAGAAATGGAATTGGTTAAAGAGAGGGTAATCCATAATAAGCAGAGTACTGTTGCATAAGGACTAGGTGTGCCATGAAGAACATTACAATTGGATGATGCATTTTGGTTATCATGAGTACATTAGATGTCCCACCAGAGAGTTATAAGAGTTGTATTAGTTTTCAATGATTTCACATAGACATCATTAACTTCAACAACTATCATATTACAATAGCAATACTAAACAAAATCTCGTAATTGACTGCAGATCTGATCATAAATCTCGAAAAATATGTTTTCCTAGGATTCACCTGAATTTCAATGTATATGCAATACAAAGAAGATAAGAGAAGCATTTTAAGTTTGATTTGATGCAGTTTACATTTCTCCAATATTTACAGAAGTAGTGTTAAGTGTATATTTTTACACTTAATCGTACCTTTTAATTGGAGCTTTTGGTGTGTTTTAATGATA